AGGCATTTTCTTAATAATTGATGGGGAACAGCCTACTCCATTATGGGCGGTACCACCCTGGGCTGGTGGTCTTGGGTCTGTAGGAAAGCAGGTGTAACAAGTCATGATGAGCAAGCAAGTAAGCAGCACCCTCCATGGCTTCTGCATCAGCTCCTGTCTCCAGGTTCCTGTCCTGTTTTAGTTCCTGTCTTGACTTCCTTTGATGATGAACAGTGATGTCGAAGTGTGATCCAAGAAAAGCCTTTCCTCCCCCACTTGCTTTTGATCGTGGTGTTCCATCGCAGCAATAGAAATCCTCAGTAAGACACAGGTCAAGAGCATCAAGGATGGCAAGAGACATATAACCTAATCAGCAAATATGCTGAAAGAAGGCTTCTCTGTTGAGGCAACAGCCAACAGAGACCCACCCGAGGGATACGCCTACAAAGGCAGAGGATGAGTGGAGCGTGCACAGAAGACCTGCCATGCAGCTGGCACAATATGTGTGAAAACAGTGAGAAGACCTCACAATATGTGTGAAAACAGAGAGAAGACCTGTTTGGCTAAAGTGTGGAGAGAGGAAGGATAGTATCGTTTGGGATGCAGGTCACACAAGGCCTTATATGCAGATTGTATTCCAAGTATTTTGAAAAATTGTGGATGCCTTGAAGCATAAAAGTCACCAGACTCTGTTCATTTTAGAGAAGATTCTGGCACGTGTGTGTTGCAGGGGGATTGGAAGGAGGGAGACAAGTCAAGAGACTCATGCTATAGTCCCCATATAATCACATTAGTATAGCTGACGTGGGAGCCACAGTAATGATGAAGACTGGTTGAATTCAGAAAACATTTTGAACACGGTGCTTTTCTGTGCGTTAGATGAGCGCCACTGAGAGAGAAAGAGGAGAAGGCGGACTTCCTCACCAAAACAGAGCACGGGAGTCTGCACAACCAGGATGTGGCAACACTAATCAAGGTTAAGGTGAAAGACATGCAGTTTGTCAAAGAACAACCCACACTCAAATCAACCAAGTAGTGTGTGAACACTATCACTAGTTGACAAATAAATGCTGGAATGGATTCTGCCATTTCTTCCAACATTTTTGTTATGTGTCCCTGCATGTTCTATCCAATCTATGGATGTGATTGTGTGGATAAATATGTTCCTCTAAAATTCATATGTTGGAACTTAAAATCCAACGTGATGGTTTTGAGAAGGCTTTGCTCTCACAAACAGAATTAGTCCTTTTGGACAAAGCCTTTAGAGTTGGCGGTGACGGGATGTATTGTGTCTTAGTGAGGGTTTCTATTGCTTTGATGAAACACCATGACCAAAAGCAAGTTGGGGAAGAAAGGCTTTATGGCTTACACTTCCACATTGCTGTTCATCATTGAAGGAAGTGAGGACAGGAGATAGGAGCTGATGCAGAAGTCATGGAGGGGTGCTGCTTACTGGCTTGTTCTTCATGGCTTCCTCATTCTACTTTCTTATAGAACCCAGGACCACCAACCCAGTGATGATACAACACACAATGAATGGGGCCCTCCCATATCAATCACTAAGAAAATGTTATACAGGCTTGCCTACAGCCCAATCTTATAAAGGCATTATCTTAGTCAATGCCCTCTTTCTGTGAAGAGCTACCATGACTGTGGGCAACTCTTATAAACAGAACATTTAATTGGAATTGGCTTACAGTTCAGAGGTTTAGTCCATTATCAGAATGGCTGGAAGTATGTATGGCAGGACACAGGCAGACATGGTACTGGAGAAGGAGCCGAAGAGTGCTACATTTAGATCAGCAGGCAGTGGGAAGAGAGAGTGATCCAACTGGGCCTGGCTTGAACTTCTGAAACCTCAAAGCCCACTCCCAGTTACACACTTCCTCCAACAAGGCCACACCTCCTAATAGTGCCATTCCCTGAGAGACTTTGGAAGCCATTTACATTCAAACTACCACAGACATTTTTTCAGTTGAGGCTCCTCTTCTCTGATGACTGCAGCTTGTGTCAAGTTGACATAAAACTAGACGGTACACATTGTAATCCCCACACTAAAGAAGCTGAATCCAGAGGCTCCTTGTGTTGGAGGTTAGCCTAGGCTAAATAGCAAGACCTTGGCCACCCCCCACACCGATTAAAAACAAACAACTTCAGAGTGAGAGTATGTGTGTACATTAGGTCCTGTACTGATTACTTTTTGTCACTGTGATAAAACACCAGCGGCAGAAGAGATGGTTTAGTGGTGAAGAGCACTGGCTTCTGTTCCAGAGGACCTGTCCCATGACCCACAGAGTGGCTCGCCATCAATCTGTAACAATAATGCCAGGGGATATGACACCCTCTTCCGGCCTCCTGAGACACCAGACACAGGCATGCATGCAAGCAAAGCACTCATACATGGAAAATAACTATAAATGAATTTAAACCAAAACGAAATTACATGACCCGAACCAACTTAAAGATCGAAGTTTACTTTGGCGTTTGGTTCCCGAAGGAGGGTTCATAATCGTGAGGGAGGCATGGCCACAGGCACCGGATCGAGAAACTGAGAGCTCACATCTGCAACTGCAAACGCAAGGCAGAGAGAGTGAGCAGGAAGTGGGCCGAGGTTATAAATTCTCAAAGCCTACCCACAGTGACGTACTTCCTCCATGAAGCCTGCACCCCCCACCCCAAAAGTCCCCATTGCCTGGGAACCAAATGTTCAGATGCCTAAGCCTGTTTAATATGAGGGAGATTTCTCATTTAATACCTGAGCCTATATAAATTAGGAGCATGTCTCATTTAAACTACCACAGACCCGTTTTTGTCTTCTATAAGCTGTTTGAGAGTGTATCCATCCTTTCCAGCAATGGACACTGTTGAAGGGCAGATAACAAGCTATTGCCAGACACTGAATCTACTGATCCTGGACTTCCTGACCTCCAGCAGAGTGAGAAGTAAACGCCTGACCTTTGTCATTGCTGGCTGTGTTCGTTACTATACTGGTGACTCTGCCCATCACTGGGACAGAACACCTGGAGTACCCAGAAGTGGTTCTAGAGCAACAGAATTATAAGGATGAACATTTTGAGTATCTGGAATAGGCTTTCCAATTTGCTGACACTTTACAGTTACTGAAGCCTCTCCTAAAAGCTGGCAGAGTATTGAAAATTCTTGGCATGAACTATTTTACAAACTTAGAGAAACAAATGAATTTGATTATCCCAATTTACCAACTGTGAGAAGCAAGGAATTTGGTGACTCGATATATAAAATTTTTGACAATTTGTGGGAAATAATGATGTAGCATCTCTAAATAAACTGACAAAGGAAAAGAATGAGCTGTGGTGAAATCAACCAACCTTTAGCATATCAGAATATGGTGGAGGAAAACAAATTCAGTGATAAAATTGACCAGCTCCAGATGTGGACAAGCAGTTTATAGGTGTCCAAGTGCGCTCTCTCCAGAAACCACAGAGCTCAAACTGCAGAAAATCAGAGCAAAGCCCTCGTTATAAGGTTGGCTGCATTGCAGTGAAAATTCAAGTCCCAGCCTTGGAAGGTGTCAGCAGTGAGAGTCAGGGCATCCATTGGTAAAGAATGGGACCCTGAACTTGGGATGGGGATGTGTGGGAGGATCCTATTGAAGCTGAGAACTTTGAACCTGCAGATTCTCAAGGGTTTATCTCACCTGAGGAAGTAGTTGCTCCACCCTCAGCAAAAGATGCACTCACACCCCTGACCCCTAAAATACTGCCTTTTCTGTCTTTGACTGAGGAAATTAATCTCCCATTGTCTGCTAAACCAGCAATGACTTTCTCTAAAGGAGATGCCAGGCAAGACAATACTGATGTCCCTCAGGCCCACCAACAGTTGCCTCTGGACCTATATCCAGACTTTAAGCAAGGCAGGCCCCCAGAGGGGAGGTAGAAATTGCAGTCTGTGAAGAAGAGTGCTACACTACTGAAGAACTTAATGAGTTTGCTTATTCATTCAAGCAGAAGTCTGTGGGAACGTGTGTGGGAAAGGATTTAAGGTTGTGAGATAATGATGGAACATAAAACTAGATCAGGCTGAGTTTATTGATATGGGCCCTCAGAGTGGAGATTCAAGTTTTAATATGGAAGCTCACACAGTTGTTTTTTAAGTGCCAAAAGTTTGTTTGCATGGTGAAATGAAGTATTTGCCAACAGGGGGGTGGGGAGGCCTGTGGAGAGGAGTTGGAAATGCCTGGTAACCTTCGGTTTAGTGTTGATGAAGGGATTTTTTTTAGGGGGCGGGGTTCAAGACAGGGTTTCTCTGTGTAGCTTTGCGCCTTTCCTGGCACTCAATCTGTAGCTCAGGTTGGCTTCGAACTCACATAGATCCACCTGCCTCTGCAGGGATTTTAAGGCTCAGGGAAATTGCAGTGCTAGAGTGGGTAAAACCTAATGTCAAACCTAATCCTCCACCATGGGAAGGCCCAGAAGACACGCCCTTCACTAATGCTGTAAGATGCAAAATGGTGAATGGACACCAGCACATCTGAAGAGCTTCGTCGCCACTCTGCCTTGTGCCAGACCTTAGGGTTGGAGACACGGCCGCTCAGTTAGATGAATTAAATGCAGCGGGTTTAATTGGGCCCCAAAGTAGCAGGATCCGGGTCGCAGCAGTGAATTGCCGAAGGCAAGGTGATCACGGACAGCATAGGCAAAGCAATGTTCATAATGGCCTGACCCGTAATAGGCAGCCTGGGCAAAGTGATTTTTATGGCGGCATGACTTGTATGGACCTTTGATACTGGCTCACATCAATCATGGTGTTTCCAGGCATGAATAGATAGGAAGCCTGCCACGTTTTTGTTTGATCTGTATAAGCATTAAGATAAACAACCTCCCTGGCTGCCGGGAAAAGCCATCTTTGCATTGCTCCCGAGTCCTGCTCTGTGCTCGCTGCAGCCACCTTTGCCTCCTGCCTCAGACTCAGGCCAGGTCCTCAAACTCCATCTCTTTCTGGCTCGCTGCATCAGATCACCACCATGCCCCAGCCTAGCAGACATGGACACCGCCTCCAAGATCACCACCAAGAGCTTGAAGGAGAACAAGAAGCTGTGCCAGAGGCAGAGTGGAGGAGACGCACCTGCCGATGGGAATGCCGATGAGGAAAACAGGGAGCAGGAGACTGACAACAAGGAGCATGAAGAAGAGGAAGCGGGTGGGAAGGAAGAGGAGGAGGAAGGTGACATGAGAAAGAGGATGGAGTGGACAACGAGGAAACAGGCTCCTGTGGGTGAGCGGGTGGCTGAAGATGATGACGATGATGTCGACACCAAGAAGCAGAAAACTGATGAGGATGACTAGACAGCAAAAAGGAAATGCTGGGCCCTGGGGAGATGGCTTAGAGGTTAAGAGCACTGTCTGCTCTTCCAAAGGATCCAGGTTCAATCCCCAGTACCATATTCTCAATCTTCAGTCACAGGAGCTCTGATGCCTTGTTCTGGCCTCAGTGGGCACCAGATACCCACATGGTACACAGACATACATGCAGGCAAAACAAAATAAAAATAAATAAACATTAAAATAAAAACAAAAGCTGTAATGTAGGCATAAGCAGTCTCTGCAACATTAAAAAAAAAAAAGGCAGCCGGGCGGTGGTGGCGCACGCCTTTAATCCCAGCACTCGGGAGGCAGAGCCAGGTGGATCTCTGTGAGTTCGAGGCCAGCCTGGGCTACCAAGTGAGTTCCAGGAAAGGCGCAAAGCTACACAGAGAAACCCTGTCTCAAAAAACCAAAAAAAAAAAAAAAAAAAAGGCAATGGTAAACTTAGGGGCACTCTTCACCATCCACTTCCCATGTCAGAATTCAAAGGGTCACCATCCACAGATGACATGCGCTCTCCACCACCCGCCACAACCACAACCTGAACATACTACAGGGAAGGAAAAAAGAACCGAAACGTCCAAGGCCTTGCTTTTTTTTTTCTTAAAAATACTTTAAAAGGAAAAGTTGTATGTATTTTTATTTACATTTTGTATTTTTGTACATGTCTGGGGTCAGTCATTTTTAATAATAACAGGTGACAAGATCAGAGCCTTCAGCGCATTCTCTGTCCTACTTCAGACTTTCCTTGTGGTGTGAGCACGTTCATTTATAATCTCAAAGGAGAAAAGCACCTTGAAAAACAAAACAACAACAAAAAAAAAACAACAACAAAAACAACCTTATTCTGACCATTCCAGTAACTTTTTTGTTTATGTATCTAGCTGTACAATAAACAGTTGGTTTGTATGAGATTGTTAAAAAGGCCAAAGATAAAAGGCTTCTTTTTTTTGGTCTATAAAGTCACTGTTTTATCATCATCATCATCATCATCATCATCGTCATCATCATCATCATTATTATTATTATTTTGGCCTGCTTGATGTATGTGTGAAACAATATCCAATAATAAGCCAGCATTTTATTTTGCTGAGTTGCTCTAAAAAAAAAAAAACTCAAACAAATAAAAGGAAGGCTACATTGTCATGGCAAAAGGGAATCCAGACCTGACAATTAATTTCCAGACTTGAGTCAGTTTGCAGACCCAGAACCCCTTGAATGAAGGGAAGGCTAGATCCTAGGAAGGACTTTCCTAAGAGTTTTCTGTAAGCCTTTCTCCAGTCCTTCCCGTGAGGGACCGAAGGCCTTTTATGAGGGTAACTGTACAATGGGAGTGTCTCAGTCACTGTTCTGCTGCTGTGAAGAGACACCATGACCATTGTCATAAAGGAAAGCACTGAATTGGAGCTTGCTTACAATTCAGGAGTTTAGTCCATAATCATAATGACGGGAAGCATGGCGGCATGCAAGTAGGCAGGGTGCTGGAGAGACAGCTGACAGTTTTACGTCCTGATCAGCAGGCAGCAGGAAGAGAACGCCATTGGGTCTGGCTTGGACTTTTGAAACCTTAAAGCCAACCCCACCTCCAGTGACACACTTCTTCCAACAAAGTCACACCTCCTAATCCTTTTCAAATAGTGCCACTCCCTGACAACTAAGCATTAGAATGTATGAACCTTGGAGGCCATTCTTATTCAAATCATCACTACAGGGAGAAGGGAAACAATCAGACTTTCCTACTCTACTGGATACTGGCTCAGAATTGATACAGACTCCAAGAAACCATGTGGCCCTCTGGTTAAAGTAGGGGCCCATGAAAAGACAGCCAACAGAATGGGAAAAGATCTTTACCAACCCCACATCTGTCAGAGGATTGATCTCCACAATATATAAAGAACTCAAGAAAATAGACATCAAAGTACTGAACAGTCCAATTAAAAAATGGGCTAAAGAGCTAAACAGAGAATTCACAAAACAAGAACTACAAATGGCTGAAAGACATTTAAAGAAATACTCAACATCCTTAATCATCAGAGAAATGCAAATCAAAATGACTCTGAGATACCACCTTACACCTGTTAAAATGGCTACGATCAAAAACACCAATGACAACCAATGTTGGAGAGGATGTGAAACAAAGGGAACACTCCTCCACTGTTGGTGGGAATGTAAACTTGTACAACCACTGTGGAAATCAGTATGGCGGTTTCTCAGAAAATTAGGAATCGAACTACCTCAAGACCCAGCCATCCCACTCTTGGGCATATACCCAAGGAATGCTGATTCATACCATAAAGATACATGCTCAGCTATGTTCATAGTAGCACTATTTGTAATAGCCAGAACCTGGAAACAACCTAGATGCCCGTCAACGGAAGAATGGATGAAAAAAATGTGGTACATATACACAATGGAGTACTACTCAGCAGAGAAAAACAATGAAAGCATAAAATTTGCAAAATGGATGGAACTAGAAAAAATCATCCTGAGTGAGGTAACCCAAACCCAGAAAGACAGTCATGGTATGTACTCACTCATAGGTGGATTCTAGATATAAAATAAAGAACAATCAGACCACAACCCATAGAACCATAGAGGCTATATATATAGCATGGAGGTCCCTAGGACGACTGTGGCTTATAATAAATTTCAGTTTTACTCAATTATTGAAAAAAAAACACACTAATTGTGCTGTTGCGTCAGTCCGTGACATTCTTTATACAGCTAGGGAGATCATGACGACATAGGCAGAAGTCTATTCATCCCACTTAGGCACATCCCACTGCCCATACTTTATGGTTGAAGCACATAAAAAGATAGCTTTCTCCTAAAAAAAAAAAAAAATTAGGGGCCCATGGAGGTGAGGTGAAGTCTGACTCACAGTAGGTCCAGTGGGTCCCTGAACTCACCCTGTAGTCTTTCCCCAGTTCCAGAATGTGTAATTGGGATCGACATACTTTGGCAGGGTTCCCACAATAGACCTTCTTGCCTCCTCGGACTCACCTTCCTCATAATAGCCCATTTATCTATGAGCCCATCAATGAATGAACTCACTGATGAGGTTTGGATCTCATGCTCCAGTCACCTCTCAAGGTGCTTTGTTATAGTGCTGCAAGGGGATTAAGACAGCAATCTCTATGTCCAAGTGGGAATCTAAAGCCGATGGATCACAGCCCAGTACTGTAGAACTTTGGATAGAGATGAAAAGACTGTAACCATGTAGGTATTTCCAAGTATTTGTCTAAATCACTCTAGTTCTTTGTTTTCTCTTAGCTTGTCATTTTTATGTAAAAATACAAACACAACCATGACATTAAGACAATAACATTCGGAAGAGGAATGGTACATTACCCCTAACAACCACCTCATACAGGCCTGAACAGACCCCAGAAATTACCCACAATAGAAAGTCATGAGTAAATTGCAACTGGGCAAGAACACTGAGCATACTGTAACACCCAATAAATCTGAAGAAAGGATTCATAATAAAAAAAAAAATAACACGTAGAACCAGATGCCAAAACTGAAAATGAGGAGATTACATGGCCTTGCAAGGAACCAGCAGTCAGTCCTCCTATGTGCACTGGTTTATATATATTTTAAATCAAAAGAATACTCATACGGTTTTTCAGTGCCTCTCCTTTACATAAATCAAGTTGCACAACAGAAACAGCACTTAATATTGATAATTTCAAAGAGCCCTTACAAATTATTCCTCAAAACACAGTCATGTGGAAGCTTCCAATTTATGGATGAAAGGATGAAGACGCTAAGGCAAAGCCCGGGCTAACGTCCTGCCTGTGGCAACTGAGCAAGGCGGCATCAGAGCCAGGAAGAAACCACAGAGAAACCGGTCATTCGGCTCCATGTGGGCGAGATGAAAGAAACTCGGTCCGGTGTTACTAATGAGCTCACGCATCTAACCACTGAAGCACACTGCCCCCTTTCACACAGCATGGAGAGATAGATTTGGCTTGATTTTACCTATGTCAATGGCAGAATGAAAATATTTCATATTAATAGGTGCATCGTAGACATACTACACAAACCCGAGCAATGCTGACTTAAAGAGAACCAGGTAGAACAGAAAAGGAAAGATCAATAAAACCGACAGGATCAAGAAATAGAACTGGCTGTGGTGATGCAAACCTGTACCTACCAGTGAGAAAGAGACTGAGGCAGAAGGATCTTTAAGTTCGAGGCCAGTCCATGGTACGTATCAAGTTCAGGTTCAGGTCAAGCTGCATAGTGAGACTCTTGTCTCAAAAACATAAAAGGGACTAGAGAGAGAGCGCAGCAGTTAAGAGTGCTCACTCTTCCTCAGAGGACCTACGTTCAGTCTCCAGCACTCATGTCAGGTGGCTCTCAACCACCTGGAACTGCAGCTGCAGGGGACTGATACCCTCTTCCAGTCTCTACAGGTTCCCGTAGCACATGGGCATATACATAGACACATAGATAAAGACAAAAACTTCTCCCCCTGTTTTTCAAGACAAGGTCTCTCTGTGTAGCTCTGGCCATCATGGAACTCACTCTGTAGACCAGGCTAGCCTCTAACTCAGAGATCCACCTGCCTCTGCCTCCTGAGTACTGGGATTAAAGGCATGTGCCACCACAGCCTGGCAAAAACATTTTTAATCTAAAACAAAACAAAAAAAAGCAAAAACAGAAAAATATATTACAGTGAAAATTTCAAAATTAATTATAGATATTTAAGTACATAAAATTTGGTGAGAGATAATGGTGGATAACACTGAGCATCTAACATTTAGGAATGATAGTTTCAGTGAGTCAAAAAGGGTTATAGGTGCAAAACCACACACACTATCTAATACAGGGCTCGAAGAAGGATTACAACCCAAGGAAAAGGATAATTAGAAAACAAAAATATCCTCTAAAACATCTGAATGTATTTTCGGCAGGACTGTTGTCAGGGATATTGGCATATTAATGTGACATTTAAAGATTCAGAACAATCTGTT